AAATGAAAGATACCACAACAAATGTAAACACAACTGGATTTTCAGGGTGCTCACTGTTTATTGCCAAAGTAATCTCCCCCTTTCCCGCCCCAGTACCTTTTGGTTGGTTGGTGCAACTTGAAAGAACTCTAATCTAGGGTGCCAACATAATCATGTGCTTAAAAATCAAGCCCTATAATCAATTTCCCTCAGCAGAACAGCTGCATTTCCTATTTGTTTGCATTCAGACTTCCTGTGTGTTGTGCCTATGGTTGAGTCCAGTTAGAGGCAAAGACCATGCAAAGACAGAACACTTTTCTTTTCCACTGACTGCTGAGGAAATCCCTGCTTTAGATTAGAACATAACTAATGATTGTGTGTCCCAGTATGCTTTCGAACGGGGCCCCTTATTTTATCTACGTGGCAGCTACCTGTCAATGTGTGGTACTTGGAGTAGCGCACAGGGAGTTCATACACACCAAGACTATCTAAACAGACCATTAAGTGCTAGTAATGTAACACATGTGAACGACAGGTCAATAAATTTTAAACAACTTATGTTCAAAGAGCTGGCTGTTTTAGGACAAGCAGTGTTTACATAAAATCAATTTAACAAGCATCTAAATAATTAGGGAGTCCACCACAATGATAATTATATTCTGAATCCAATACAATAGTTACATAGTAACCTAACTGATCCCATTGTTTATTTGTTTTTGTTTTTTCCTAAGTTTCTTGTTTTTTAAATAACTCCTTGCATCTTCAAGAGAACTGTACGAATTTGAACTTGTGTCCAAATAAGTAGCTGTAGTCCCTACTAATTTATGTGTTGTTATATATTTTACTGATCATGTAAGTGTTAAATGATATCAATTCATGCTGTGAACATATGCTATTATTTTTATCCTTTCTAGAAATATTTAGAAAGTCTACTGTATAAAATCAATCAACTGATGTTGAGTAATCTATAAATATGCCCAGAAAATTAAAATTTTCCACGTTCAATTTTATGTCACAGATTAAGAACATTTAGATTGAATGCTGGTTGATCTCTCAACTTTCTGACCTTTCTGTGTCATGTAGGCCTATTAATTATAAAGAGTACACACACATGCAGATAGACATGGGTAAGTGGATGGAATCAATGTGATACTCCAAAGATCTCCTATTTCCGTAAGACTAAACTAAATCTTATCTGAAACTAACGTGGCAAAGGAACTGGCACATTGATTTACAGTGCTTACCTTCAACATCATTTTTGTTGCCTTTTCAGCTACAGGCAAAAGACCTAAACATGTTGTGGGTACTATAAATTCACAGTTGCCATCAGAATCCGTGATGCCATCTGTTCCCTAAAGCATCTACATAACTTATGCCAATGCAAACCATCTGCAAACTGTTCTTGCATGCGAATTCTTGTAATAACGCAATGTGGTGCATATGTGATTTCAAATGAAGACCACTTCAATTTTTTTTAATTGTCATTGCTTAACTCAGCTGTTTTACAGAAACCTCTACTTTAACAGATTTTTTTAAAGTCCTTGATGTTCATTCACTACCATTGTTCTTAGATTTCTTAATGTTATTGTAAGATAATAATGCACCTTAGTGTAAGGGAAACTAAAGAGCAGAGAGGGAAGAGCTGACTCTGGCTATGTCTACATACAGAGTTTTTGCGGAAAAACGGTAGTTTTTCGTCAAAAACTTGCAGAGCATTCACACATCAAGCACATTTTTGTGCAAGAGAATTGAAAGAACAGAGGGTTTTTTGCACAATTGGTATTCCTCTTTCTACAAGGAAGAACGCCTTTTTGCGAAAGAGTTCTTTCACAAAAAGGTGTGGTGGATGGGAAGAGGGAGTTTTTTGCGCAAAAAGAGGAAAAAGGAAAAAGCACAGGTGCCCTAGTGGCCATTCTGTGCATACCAATAAACTTAAAAAACAACAAATGGTCTGATAGCACTTTATAGACTAACAAAACATGTAGATGGTATCATGAGCTTTCGTGGGCACAGCCCGCTTCTTCAGATAACCGAAGTTCTTGATACCATCTACATGTTTTGTTAGTCTATAAAGTGCTACCAGCCCATTTGTTGTTTTTTAAGTGTATTTGGAAATAGTCGCTTATCACTCAGCCTTCTGTACCAGCCTTCCAACTAACTGATTATATTCAATCTAGCTCTGAGATTTTAATTTCCATTATTCACCTACCTCAAATAGTCTTAAACATTGTGAAAACTAACATGATTGATATAATTAACTATGGGTACATCTAGACTACATGCCTCTGTTGCCAGAGGCATGTAGATTAGGCTACCCGACATAGTAAAATGAAGCGGCGATTTAAATAATCGCCGCTTCATTTAAATTTACATGGCTGCCGCGCTGAGCCGACAAACAGCTGATCATCCCAGGAGGCATACCTGGGTGGTCAACAAATACCTTTGATGTTGACACCCGCGCATCCAGACTATCGCGCTAAGCCGACAAACAGCTGATCAGCTGTTTGTCGGCTTAGCGCGATAGTCTGGATGCGCGGGTGTCAACATCAAAGGTATTTGTTGACCACCCAGGTATGCCTCCTGGGATGATCAGCTGTTTGTCGGCTCAGCGCGGCAGCCATGTAAATGTAAATGAAGCGGGGATTATTTAAATCGCCGCTTCATTTTACTATATCGGGTAGCCTAATCTACATATCTCTGGCGACAGAGGCATGTAGTCTAGACATATCAGACTGATAGTCTTCATTTGCTCAAGTCAAGTGCAAAACTTCTACTTTCACTATTCCTCTTTTAAAGGAAGCATTTGTCATACAGTATTTCTTACATACATAATGCCACTTCTACCATCTGTGAAGGCTGTTAGTGTTAATTCTGTCCCTTATTGCAACAAACCTGTTTCTTGGCTGTCTCCTGGATCTGTGGGGCTAATACTCAGTATCTTTAAGCTGTTTGCAAGAGGGACTGATATCTTGTTTTGTTGGCATTTTCAGCACACTCAAAATTTAAGCAATAGACAAAGGAAGATCAAAGTCACAAAAATACCTGCATTTCCACCACTGCTGATAAACTGACTTTCACTGAGCAAGTCCCAACAGCATCTGTCAGTAACACAGTGTATTGCTTTGTTCAAACATCTGCAGGTCACATTATTTCTTGACAAGGCAACAAGAAGGGAAAGTAAAACTGAGGCAGGTTATTAATCACTCACTCGTTGCTTCCTGTACAACCCAGAGGAAATAATCAGACAGCATAATGGGTTATAAAAGGGAATTCCTGAGAAACAGAAATATACAGCTGATCTGATACTTTTCAGGAGGGCTGTAAAATATAGTCCAACCCAGATTAAAGAAATTTGCAAACAATTATGATATTAAGTAAATGACAACCATGTCTACACCTGAATGGGGGTCTGAAGGTATCCTCCATAAAAAGGAGCTCCTAGAATTACGCATTTTTTCCTTGAATGCTCCCAAAAGTGTGTCATTTGACCCAAAGTAGGTGGAATGAGCCCGAAAGCACGGTCAGTGAAATTACAACATCAGGAATGCAAATCCTGAGGCAAATTCTCACACAAAAATTAATGCCAACCTTATCTGGAATAGCTCTGACTCATCACTATATACAGCTGTGTCCTCATGAGGGAATTTTGGCCAAATGTGATTTTACAGATCTGTCAGCTCTAAATCACAGATTCGAACACATTGTGTACTAACATTATGTTAATTTGCTAATGTCCCTTGGGAATTCTCAGTCCATAAAGCAATGAATGGCCAGGGAATCATCAATATAATGGGCAAAGTTCTGGTCTTTTACACATCCAACCCCACTGACTTCAGTGGTATCATATAGTGCAGACTGAGAACAAAAGTGGGCCCAACGTTTATTTTAATCTATGGCAAATAAAACTAGGTTCATTTTTTTTTTTCATGCAAAGTGAAAAGGGTAAACCTTTTTTATAGGCTGACATTTTGAAAAATCAAAGGACAAGAAATATGGGTGAAAATAAACATACTGGAAACTCTCAGTGGGGTAGCTGAGTTAGTCTGTAACTTTAAAAACACCAAGTAGTCCTTTGGCACCTAAGGGTATGTCTACACTACCCCGCTATTTCGAAATAGCGGGGTAATGTAGGCATACCGCAATTGCAAATGAAGCCCAGGATTTGAATTTCCCGGGCTTCATTTGCATAAGCGGGGCGCCGCCATTTTTAAATCCCCGCTCCTTCGAACCCCGTGCCACGCGGCTACACGCGGCACGAACTAGGTAGTTCGAACTAGACTTCCTAGTTCGAACTACTGTTACTCCTCGTGGAATGAGGAGTAACGGTAGTTCGAACTAGGAAGCCTAGGTCGAACTACCTAGTTCGTGGCGCGCGCGTGTAGCCGCGTGGCACGGGGTTCGAAGGAGCGGGGATTTAAAAATGGCGGCGCCCCGCTTATGCAAATGAAACCTGGGAAATTCAAATCCCGGGCTTCATTTGCAATTGCGGTATGCCTACATTACCCCGCTATTTTGAACTAGGAGGGTAGTGTAGACATACCCTGAGAGACTACAAAAAGGCTTGAGATTGCTAACTCTGTGGGTTTATGCAGGAAAGAGCTGATATTGATGGGTTCCTTCCACTAGTTTTGCAGACATCAGAGTCCTTAACACTCCCACTGAAGTCATTGGCCAAACTTCTAGTAACTTTAAATGAAATAGGATTGTGCCCAAAAGATCTTCTAAGCCAGCATGCCACCACATTGTTTTGCAATGTTATGATTCAATGGCTTTGTACTCAAACACAAAGTTTGTTTTAAAAAATTGTAGCCCTAATTAATCTGTGCCAATCTAACATTTATCACAAAATGGTACCAGTGCCAATCTAACATTTGCCAGTCAAAATGCCCCATACTTCATTATTTATTATTATGTATTATTATTTATTATTAATTTAACATAACCTACAAATGTAATTATTGACACCAAATAATGCTGCAATGTATAATAAAAGCAGGTATTCATATTATGTCACTGGGCTATATGTATATAGTAGTATCCTAATTGTGAGATGATAAGTCTAAAAAAGGGGTGCTATATTGCAGAATGGACCATGTCTATGCAAGACTAACAGCTTAGATACTGACAGTGTGTTGCCTCTGTTACTACAATGCCACAAGGTATGTCTGATAAGCATAAGTTTACCCCCTTTGCTGCCTCTATCGGGGGAAGGAGAGGGGAACAGCAGGAGCCTGCTTAAAAGCCAGTTCCCCCAGCACTGTCTTGGTGGGGAGGGGCAGGGGAGGTAGAGGCACAGCAGAAAATAGTGCGAGCAAGGACTGAAGCAGTCTCCACTTGTGCTGGTTCTGCTGTGTTATGAATTCACCCCGACAGTTTCCCGTGAGACCCCTGACCTCTGTGCGCGGGGAGAGGAGGGAGACCTGGGCCCACCTTCTTTCCAGGTCTCAGCCCAGGACCCTAAGGACAGGAACACCAACTTCCTGCCTAGCCAGCGAGATCAAGCCGCAACTCACCAGCCCATGGGCTCCTTCTCTGCCCTGTCCTGGGATGCTTCCTCCCCTCCGGCAGTGTTCAAAAGAGCCACTCACCACCCACGTCTCTCTTTCTCAACAGGGCTCACTCAAAGCCGGCGGCCTGGTTAAGGGATGCCGGTGCATGTGTTCTCCTGCCGGCCAGCTCAGAGGCACCGGGAGCCACCGCGCAGGCACTAGCAGCGGCCGCCGAGCATCACCGGCACTGCCGTGCACTTGCTGCAGCGCCGACACAGAGCGCCGCAGTAGTGCGGGGTGTGGTGCTCTTTGCACGTACCCCCACCACTCTGTCACATGTTACAGTTCTGCTTTTGAAATGTATAGGAGCCCCAGTAGGGCTCCTGTATATTTCGAAGTCTGAGACCACAGGGCACACGGGGCTAGTTTTCAGGGAATCCTTTTGAGCCCCACTGGGGCTCTTCTACATTTCAAAGGCTCAGGTGCTGCAGGGAGTGTGATGCCAGTCCCCCGCTGGCCCCGTGCTCTCTGCGGGGCTTCCGCTTTTACAGTTCAAAGGCGGAGGCACCCTTATCGACTAATCGAATAGTCGATGGAAAACACATCAACTATTTAATTAGTTAATTAATCTAAATGTAACATCCCTAACTGGAACACAGAAAAATACACTTAAATCTGTCCTTGGGTATAGAATTAGTTGAAGAAGGACTGTAGTGGCATGGGTTGCTTTTTGTTGATGTAGTTATTATGCATAGGGCTTACCAACCCTTCTTACTGCCACGTCTGCAAAATCAAAGGGCGGGATCTGGTAGTAATTTTGCTACTTTGTTAGGTTCAAATTCTGACCTGGATGTAAACAGAGCTCTCTCTGTGATTACAAGTCAATGGAAGCCCCATGAATCCCGCAGCAGAATATTCTTGCTGAGAAAAAAAAAACATACCCAAATGTTTGATGTAGCAGATTTCTTTCAAAAAAGCAGCATCTGGTCTGAAGTATTTTAACACACTTACCCTAATGAGTGTGACATATTGTAGACTTGCAGTGTTTTAAAGGTAATCTCTTAAAGCTTCCATGTTTAATATAGCCCAATGAGAAAGGAGGAGCAATAGATTCCTTACGGCTGACCCTTAGATCAACACTGCATAACAATAGGCTGGCTATACATATACACACACATACACACACGCAACTTCCTCACAATATCATTCAAAAACTGACAAATAAGAAGATATTAAACACTATTTCACAAATAATCTGATTAACAAGAGCTTCCGAAGAGCGCTCAGACTGAAAGAAGACTGAGTTTACGCGTTGAAAAAACAGAACTACCATCAAAGGAATCTGTCAGGAAGGATAAAAGGGAATGGAAGGCATTGGGAAGGGCCTTGCCAGTAAAAGTGATCTTTCAGCAGAAATCAATCCCTGAACATCTGCCCCCCAAAAGTACCAGTAACAGAGACATTACTAGTGCATTTAGTACACTGTGCAAGTGCCACTGGAGACAACAGAGTAAATATTTTTGTTTTGCATGCTCTCAACAATATAGGTGCTAAAGTTGACTCCTACAAAGAAAAACACTAAACAATTTGGACAATACTAAAAGCAACTGAAAGTTAGTTTTTAGTGTAGAAGTCAGATACAATGCAAGCAAGCTCTCCACCAGAAAGCCTACAGAAACGCTCACCTGGGTCAAGAAAAGGACAACAAAAACATCCACAGGTTTACCACCATGGTTTAACAGCAGCAATAATTTTCAAAACTGGTCTGTTCAGGAGCTATACTCAGATTATTAAAGAACAGAGCATGAAAGTCAGACTAATATTTGTTAAATCTTTTTCTCTATATATATTTTTTTCCCTCTAGGATGACAGAGTGATGTCATCATGTCACTTGGCATCGCTTCGCCCCCAACTCCAAGACCAGAACATGGTCCCTCTTCCCCTGAAAACGGCCTCTTGCCACGCTACCAGCGTCACTGGCAGGCTTCCCCGCTGACTGGCCTCTTCGCCTGCAGCCCTACTGGCTGCAGCCCTTCCGCATGCCACCTCCAGCCCGCTCATTCACACCCCCGCACTCCCCGCCTGCTCAAACAACGCCCTGTTGAAGCCACATACTGCCACAGCCTCTCCCCACACTACCAGTGCCGCTGACAGGCTTCCCCACTGACTGGCCTCTATGAAATGGGGGAGGTTGGCAACTGCGTCCCCACATACTCCCTCGAGCAGCATCCACCTTCCTCTGGGTCCCGCCCCCAACCTGCCCAGCCCACATGCCTGCTGCATGGCTTTGCTCTGTGAGGCCTAGGCCCGGCCACAGTGCTTGGGAGCTGCGCTGCAGGTCTTCCCCTCA